GACCCAGCCCAGGGCCAGGCAGGCGCTGCACAGACGGGGCTGGACGGCGGGTCGGTGGCTCTCTACAGAACACACCAGGCTGACAGACCCTGGGGGTGGCAGGGCCAGGCCAGAGACAGGCAGAGACGGGGGCAGGGCGAGAAGGTCGGTACCGAAGCAGGCGCCTTACACTGGCTGCATGGGCAGAGGCGGCTCCAGCTGGCTGGGATTCTTCCCTTCTGTCCTGACCGGGACTCCTGTGGCCCCATCCATCGTCCTTACTCAGCCCGGTCCAGTACCCAGCAGAGGGGCCCAGCCTGGGTGCCCGGGACCCACCAGGCAGCCCTAATCCGCTTCCAAGCTGCCCAGGGCTGTCCCCTCGTCTTGCCCCGCGCTGCTGCACGGCCCACAGATTCCCCACCGCTTCCTGCAGCCTCCCAGCTCTGCCTGGCCCTTAAATCCCCTCCAGGCCCCTTGGGACCAGCCCTGAATCCCCACCCGGCTCCCAGGCTGAGACCTCCCAGAGTCACCAATTAACAGAGACTTGGCCTTGTTTTGGAGAACGCTCAGAGAGTTGCCAATTAATAGAGATTTTGGCATCATTTCCGAGAATGCTCGAGAAGGGGGTGGGATGTTCCTACTCGTCTAGGCTCCCCTGCCTTGTGACGCAAGCCAAATGATACCCCCATCAGTGTGCAATAGGAGATAACTGGGCCAGACCTTCAGGTGAAAACCTAGGAATCAATAGCTCCTCTTATGACCTGCCCTTCCCCTGCCCCTGCTCTGGGTCTCTGTGCGCACAGGGATGTGTTCCTGCAGCAGCATGGGGATGGGTGAGGGTGAAATAACCTGTTTCACAGACAAGGGCACCATCTCTCCCATGCACCATGGCACAGCACTTTTAGCAGTACTACCGCGACACCAGGAACACAACGGTATCACTGTGCCGTGCAGCAGCTGCCCACCAACCCCTGGCACCATTGTTTTGGGAGCCGCCCAGACACAGAGTCAGACAGACCCAGCTTTTCACAGGCCACTAATTACCCCAACAACGTGTGTCGTTGCCACAAACACTGGAGCCAGAACTGCATTTGACCATTTTAATTTGTGTTCTCACTTATCTTATCCTGGGTCCTATGGTGGGACCTACAGTCTGGATGTGAGATGTAGGCCCCTTTGTGCAACACCCAGCACAGACACACAGTAAGCGAGTGTCCCCACTTGAATGTGATACACATCAAATAGCCGATTTAATTATCCATTTATAACAGATGGTGAAACTGAGGCACAGAGTGATCTAGTGCATTATTCAAAGTCACCTAGAGAGTCTTCTACAGAGCCTACACTAAAACCTAGCTCTCAGGCACCCCTGTACCTCGACTTAGCCTTCAAATAATTTCCATGGCCTCCATGAATGCAGCTGTGTTGAACTGATACAGTTCTCAGTTATCACATTCTTCATGCATCACCTGCACCCTACTGGAGGGGATCTCATGAGAAATTCTTTGGTGGCCTCAGCATGTGACCCCCCAACACTAGCGGGGGTCTGCTCTCACACTCTTATAAAGTACCTGTGATGAATGGGAGGGTGCTACCCTTTTCTGGGCATTCCAGCCAGTCCGTTAACTAAATTGCCAGTTAATGATTAAAACCACAGACAGTGGGTCCAAAGAGTTTCCAGGAAGTATTGGCAGAAAGTCAATGAAAACAGAGTGTGGGGTTTTGAATTGGAAGCAATTACCTTCCTGATGCAATTTTTGTGTGACCAGAGCACAGCTGGGCAGACATGAATTGAGCCAGGGCAGCAGGGCATGGAGGATCCAACAACATCCATGCCTAGAGAAGGACTAAACCTTAGAACAACAGAGATGTGAGTAGAACAGGGAATGTTTAGTCAGGTGTGATCAGGTTATTTTCTTTCTTTTGGAGTTTGTTGAACTTCTCTGTGCTAAGGTCATGTGCCCCCTTCTCCCACTGTAACCTTTAAATAGAATCTCAGGGAAGCAATTCCCTGTGTTTTAATCTGCCTTTTTTCAGTTGCGCTATAACAAGGAGCAATCAAGTAATGTTTGATAATGTCTGTCGTCTTCATTTGGTTAATAAGATCACCTTTTTAAGACTGTGATCTGACTCCTGAGTCCTAGAAGGCAAGAGGTTCTGTGTGCACATGCCACAGACTACAAAGCCAGCTATTAAGGAATTGAAGGTTTTCCTCAAGCTCTCTCCGAGGGAGGGCTAAAGAGCTTGAGAGCACCCACAGGCAGGAATTTCCAAGTGTGTCTTCTTGGGCTCTCAATGGGTTTTTGCATTTGGCTGGTGGCAGCATACCACCCCATGTCAGGGAGTCTGTGACCTTGGGGAGTTTATAAATAAAAGTGGCAGGCCTCTTGCAGTCTCCCTCTTCTTCACTCGCAGTGCCAGTGTGGGAAACAGCCTTGACAGTACTGAATTAGCCTCAGGAAACACAAATCAATCTGCACATCCAAAGGAGTGTATTTTTTTATTGCTGTTGTGAAAAGTGGTAGTAACAAGCATACACATCCAGAGGCATAGAGAGGGTGTTATGCGCCCGAAGGCAAAGGCAAAATTTGCATTCCCCCCCAGCTGCCACCACATGGCGGGGCCCCAAACCTGGTGCACGGCTGAGCCTGAGACTGAAAGGAGGGCAGGGAGCTTGTACTGCGTCTTCCCCTAACCCCTCTAGTTTAAGGCTGGGCCCCCAAATGCACTAACCTGCCAGCAGAGATGGAGAAAGGTTAGGCTGGGGGCAGAGAAGCGGGGAGCAGGTTTCAGCCAGCCGTGGCAGGTGAAAGAGGAGCAGGTGAACTGAGGGATGACGGGGGGAGCGGAGGGGGAATAAATTGGTGCTCCCCTAGCGTGGTGCCCAGGGGCAACTGCCCCCCCCATCCTCCCCTCACTATGCCACTGTACAAGACTCACTTTTCACAGCCCTGGGAAGTCTGGGTCTGAAGGTCTGCATGGGGTATCCAGGGAGGCAGCAGGGGCCAAAGTCAGTGCCATAGAGGGGCTTGGCCAAGGGAAGCCAGAGATGGTGGGGGGAGAGTTAAGCGTGAAGCCCTGGGGCCGGAGCCCAAAGCCTCACAACCAGAGTCTGCCTCCTCCCCATGGGATGAAGCCCAAATACAGAGCCCCACCCACCATCCCTGGGGAACTCACGGGGGGCTCAATCCTTGCTGGGAGCCCTAGAAACCAACACAAAGACTTGCACCCAGGAGCACCACCCCAGTGACAGCCCCAAAGGCTGTGCCAATAAGAAAAGGCCCTGGTGGGCACGTGGGAAATGCTGCAGGGCCTCCTGTAACCCAACTGCCCCAGCTCAAGCAGAGCCAATTTCCTTTGAATATCCCTGGTGCTAACCCTAGAATAACACCAGTGGCCTTCTCCCTCATCCTGGGCCATCTCCACTGACCTCCTCCCCGGTCTGCCTCTGCATCACTGCATAAGGGACATGAGCAAACAAATTGCTCACAGTTTGACACAGCTGAATGCAAGCATGTGCCTCTGTGACGCAGTGGGGGGACCTTGCTGGTTGCTATGCTGGGCAGTGGGTTGTGAGTGACTCCACTGGCTGCTGGCTGCAGCACGGCCCAGCAGGGCAGGGGATGAGTCATTATGCAAGGGGGGCTAAGAACCTGTCTGACCAGTGATCTCCCAGGGAGCGGAACAATGGGAAGAAGGGGAGTGGAGCCCTGGCTGGGGGCAGGGCTGGAAGAGAGTGAGGGAGTGAGTTTCTGTCTGGGAGCATGGAGGACACAGCCTAGGGAAAGGGGCTGTAATTTAGGGGCCCAGTCTCCCCTATCTCAAGGGGGGCTGAGGCATCCTAGGGCTGGCCTGTAACCAGATGACATCTGTGCTGTGCTGTATCCTGGAGAAGCAATAAACACCCTCTATTCTACTGGCTGGCGGAGCCTGTCCGTGTCATTACGGGGGTGCAGGAGACGGGAAAACCCCAACGCGCTGTCACAGCCTCTAGGGACAAGGGACCGATGCTGTGCTAACAGGACTGAGGACGCAACACTCAGGAGAGGAGGCACTGAGGAGGACCTGGGGGGCTGTGGTGGAGACTTAGCTGAACGAGAGCTCCCAGTGCCACGCTGGGGCCAAACCAGCTAGTGCGACCTTAAGATGCACAAAGGAGGAATTTTGAGTAGGAGCAGAAAGGAGATTTTGCTGCTCTGGCCCTGGTGCGACCACTGCTGGAGTGGTGTCCCGTTCTGGTCTGCACACTTCCCCAGCGGTAAACTGGAGAGGATTAGGGGGAGAGCCACGAAAATAATCGGAGCAGAAAATCTGCCTTATGAGAATGGACTAGAAGACCCTGAGCTCTGTAAAGCTGGGTAATAAGGCTGAGATTGTCAAAGTCCTCTGCAAGGTCTGTACTTTCCGAAGCCTCTTCATTTTTGATGCGGAGACCCAGATTAGAAAGAAGGGGCTGTGCTGGGATGGGGCAGAGAAAGAGATTCACAAAAGGCACAGAGTGGTCATGCGGATGCATTCGTAGGTGTATTTCCCTGCAGCCTCATGTACTATGTCAACGCGCAGGCGTCAGGCCCCCTCTCAGTTTTCTCAGAGCATCTTTCACCTCCTTGTTGCGCAGGGTGTAGATGACCGGGTTCAGCAAGGGTGTCACTATGTAGCCAAAGAGCTCCACAGCCGTCACCATCACTTTGCTCAGCTGGGGCTGGGTGTAGATCACGGCACAGGGCCCAAAGAACAGCGTCACCACCACCAGATGGGAGGCACAAGTGGAAGCCGCTTTGCGCCGCCCTTCAGCTGAGTTCATCTTCACGACGGAGTAAACGATGCGGATGTAGGAGGCGAGGATGAGAGAGAAGCAGGTCATGGGCACCAAACCAGTGTTGGTGAAGGTCACGGTCTCAATGATGTGCGTGTCCCCACAGGCCAGCTTGGCCACAGGGAAGATGTCACAGAAGAAATAGTCTATCACGTTGGACCCGCAGTAGGGCAGCGTGAAGGTCAGGCTGGCGAGGATGGTGGCGTGGAAGGAGCTGGTGATCCAGGCACCTGCAGCCAGGAGGACGCACACCCTGCGGTTCATGATGAGCAGGTAGCGCAGTGGGTGGCAGATGGCCACGTACCGGTCGTAGGCCATGACCGTGTAGAGCAGGCACTCGGTGCTGGCCAGGAAGTGGTAAAAAAAGACCTGGGACATGCACCCTCCCATTGAGATGATTCTGTTCTTGGCCCAGAGGTTGGCGAGCAATTTGGGGATGCTGACAGAAGAGAATCCAAGGTCCACGACAGCGAGGTTGCAGAGGAAGAAGTACATGGGGGTGTGCAGGCGGGGGTCGCCAAGGACGGCTGAGAGGATGAGCAGGTTGCCCAGCAGGGTGCAGAGGTAGAAGGCTAAGAAGGTGAAGAAGAGGATGGTCTGGAGGCCGTCGGTGTTGGGGATCCCGAGGAGGATGAAATGAGTCACCATCGTGTGGTTGCCCAGCGCCATTTGGGCCTCATTCCTGGGGTAGGGCAGAGAAATAAAGCCAGGGAGTTACTGAAACAACCCTACGGCTGCAATGTTCACCCTTCCCACCCTGCCCCCAGGACTCCCTTCCCTCAGGAGTGGGGAATATTTCTGTCTTTGCCATGCCCACTGGGGTCAGAGAGTCACTGTGCTGGTGATAAAACATCGAAGGTATGTCTGCCTTGAAGAGATGAATAGACAAAGGGGACATCTATTCTAATCTAGTTTAGTCTATTCTGATCTAGTCCCATTCCTTCTCTTGTCTCCTGTGCGTATCTTGGTCTTTGCCCACCCTCCTTAGCACTGTAACTGAGAGCTACGCTGGCCTACCATTCATTCTCTCACTGCTCTCCCGAGGGGCTGGCCCATGTGCAGCGCAGCGCTCTGGTTTGGCAGGGCTGTTTGTGGTAAAAGCAGGGGCTGTGACGTGCCGCTGCTCAGGAAGAGGCGGCAGATGGCACAGACCCACCAGAGCATGTGGGGAAGGGTTCCCAGCATTGCTCATGAGGCGAGTACTCAGGAGTGGGGGGTTCTTAGAGAGAAAAGGAAAAAGAAAAGAGGGGGATGCTCAGCAGAGGTGCTAGAACTGGGGATGCTGCAGCAGAGGTGCTAGAACTAGGGATGCTCAGCAGAGGTGCTAGAACTAGGGATGCTCAGCAGAGGTGCTAGAACTAGGGATGCTCAGCAGAGGTGCTAGAACTAGGGATGCTCAGCAGAGGTGCTAGAACTAGGGATGCTCAGCAGAGGTGCTAGAACTAGGGATGCTCAGCAGAGGTGCTAGAACTACTGGGGATGCTCAGCAGAGGTGCTAGAACTGGGGATGCTCAGCAGAGGTGCTAGAACTGGGGATGCTCAGCAGAGGTGCTAGAACTGGGGATGCTCAGCAGAGGTGCTAGAACTGGGGATGCTGGGAGGTGGCTGCACCCCGAGGCTTGACACGGTTTCCAGCAAACCCATCGCTAAGCCTTTGGTGCGATGGTCCTTAGCATGGCGACCACACAGACTGTTCCAGTTTCCCCACCCGTACCTCCGGCCACAGCGTGTCGTCTGCACGGCCATGACCAGCAGGCTGGGTTCTGCTCGTAGCAAGGCAGAGCAGCGTTTAAAGGTGGGAATTAAAGAAGACTAACACACTGTGTGCTGGCATTTTGCCAGGGAGATTCTCCATGCAGGAGAGGCTGGCGGGGGGGTTATGGTGGATGGGAAGAGGCAGGGCTGCAGGGAGAGGCTGGTGGGGGGTTGTGGTGGATGGGGGGGTGGGAATTAAAGAAGACTAACACACTGTGTGCTGGCATTTTGCCAGGGAGATTCTCCATGCAGGAGAGGCTGGCGGGGGGGTTATGGTGGATGGGAAGAGGCAGGGCTGCAGGGAGAGGCTGGTGGGGGGTTGTGGTGGATGGGGGG